ACGAGAAAGATCAAGTCTTCCGGGAAATCGAACCTAACACGCTTCAACTAATGAAGGACGTATTTGGGAACTATGTCATTCAGAAGTTCTTTGAGCACGGAAACCAAGTCCAGAAGAAGATCATTGCAGCACAGATGAAGGGAAAGGTCGCCGAACTCTCGACCCAGATGTACGCTTGTCGTGTTGTGCAAAAGGTGAGGTTGATGAAGACATGCTGCCAACACTGATTTACTAATTCGGTCTTCAGGCTCTTGAGCACGTGCTAGTCGAACAACAAATCGAAATTGTGGATGAGTTGAAACCTGACATTATGCGGATTGTCAAAGACCAGAATGGGAATCATGTCATTCAAAAGATCATCCAGATGGTACCGCGACTCTGCATCCCCTTCATTATGGATGCATTTCAAAGCCAAATCGAATCATTGGCGTCCCACAATTATGGTTGCAGAGTCATCCAGCGGATCCTAGAGCATGGCACGGAGGCTGAGAAGAAGAGTCTAATGGCAGATCTCCATGGTTGTGCGGCTAGACTCATTACTGATCAGTATGGGAATTATGTTACCCAACACATCATCGCTCAGGGCGAACCGGAAGACCGACAGCAAGTGGTCCAGCTCGTTCTTCAAAAACTGCTGTTCTACTCAAAGCACAAGTTCGCATCAAACGTGGTTGAGAAGTCGATCGAATACGGAACGACCGAGGATCGAAAAGCTATTAGGACTCAGCTCACGGCTCTACACAGCGATGGCACTAGCCCACTCCAGCTCATGATGAAGGATCAATTCGGAAATTATGTGATCCGTAAGCTTAGAACCTAGTTGCACCTTGGGGCTACACCAAAGCTAACCAGTCTATAGAAAAACTGATGCAACACCTAGAAGGACCAGATCGCGAATCCTTCATTGAGGAGATGAGACCTCACTTTGCGAACCTTAAGAAATACAGCACCGGGCGGCAAATCACGGCCCTAGATAGGCTCATGTCCGCAAGCTCAGTTGGTCCAGGAGGTCCGAACTCTACCGCCGGTTCTACCAGCCCAACCACACCGAGCCTACTCGTCGAGGTCAACTCAGCTGCAGCCACGCCGTCACTTACTATGGAGCAGAATAGCCCAGAGAGTAGCAGCCCACCGAGCACCAACTCCGGCATAGAAGAGTCTCTGGACGAAAAAAGTACCAAGGTGTCAGCCCTCGGTCAATCCTGTCAGACCATCGAAGTTAGCGAACCATAAGATGCCACAACGCCTTCCTTGCACATCTACAGGATGTGCTCAGTAATCTCACCTTCCGCCTTGGATGATATTGACCAGTCTAGGCTGGATTCTAACGTATCAGCCGCACATCCTTCTTTACCTATTACTTCCCATTTTTGACAAATTGCAAATGGCACTGGCGCATAAAGACATTCTACTGCAAATAACACATAGAGATCGAGGACCTCCAGCCGATTCACATGACATTATACGATTCAAAACATACCACATAATACGGGTTTTTAATGGTCTGTTCCGCATCAATGAGTTTCCATTCTGATGTGTCTTTTCTCACAAATTGGGTTATTGGTCTTCGCGGCTGGTTTAGGAGACAGAAGGCCGTTTCCACCCATCCATCCATCCATCCAACCAGGCTAGGCGTACGGCGTACATATCTTCATTTCGGGTTTTGGGAATGCGGGTAGGGTCATAGGGCATTTGGCGCGAATGTCTCGGATGAAACACAGAGGGGGGCCGTCACGGAGAACAAACTGACGGCGAAACGAACACATAAAAAGCGAGAGAATTCATATGGGAGCAGTGTTTGTATTTCTATTCTACCCGACGGCATATATGTTCCCTGCCGGTATTGAGCGGTAGATGCGTGGCCTAGATATGACACATAGAATCGAATGCTTTCTATTCAGTGGGTAAAAACCTCTTAATTGCTTGGAAGTCTTGTCTCTGGGAATCGTGACATTAGAAGGTTGCATAATCTGTAGGGCTGAGTACGTCAGCTTGACTCAGTCGCAAAGTGCCGAAATACGTCGCTGGAAAGTTGTCGGTAAGAGGAGTCAGATCGCTAGGTAACAACTGCCGAGCCACATATACATAGGACAATGTTTCTAATAAATTGCGACAAGCCTATCAGAGGTTGGAGGATGTTTCGGAACATGCTGACGGATTCAGCCCGAAGGATTTCGGTGGAGCGAATAGTCGCAGCCGCAGATGCCATGGCCTGGGCCTGGCCTGGGCGAAGGAAGGAAAAAGAAATGCTCGTAAGGCATGATTTGGGGGCCATTTTTCATTGGCAGCCTTATAATCGAATATTACCTAATTCGTGAGATGGATCGTCGTTTTATGCCCCGGCATACGATGCAGGCAGTACTGCGTACATAGGGGTTCACCTACACTACTTTATGCTTTATGTAGGTTAGAGCGTGGCTACGTATCTGCGTGGATGGGCGCATAAGGTACGGTGCTGCGCAGCATGCCATGCCATGCATGTACACTCCGACAACCGAAAATAGAAACTTGATCGTAAGGTAGTAGAGCGGGTAACATACTATGTATGTACCTAGCATACGACACGAGGTAAATAGGGGTGCTATACCCGCCCGGGGCTAATGCTAATGTATGTAACCCTACCGAGCCCGCACGTCGGATCCTTTCCGGCTTTGATGGTACTCCAACGCCCCATCCCACGCGGCTTATCTAGGCGCTTGGTGATTGAGTCTTTGGCTTGGGGGAATAAGTGAGGACTTGGTTGAGTGATGATTCTGGTTACCATGGCTTGTGGTTTTAAGTAACTAGGGGAGCTCGTGGTGATGAGTAGGTCGATATTTGGGTGGGTATCTCGGCATTGGAGATAAATAGCCTAGGCAAGCTCACATCTGAAGTTGGAGGTAGAAATTTTGATAACGACGGAGTAGATTGTTTTTCTACTTCAATGAAATAATAATATATGGCTTCACGAGAAACTCATCAGTCACAGCCTTTTACGGAAACTCAAGATTATGAGCATTCCTCACTGAGTACGGTTAGCACTTAATGCAATTTCCAAGTTACAGAATTACCTAACGTACTGCATCACTCGAAGGATCAGAGCTTAGGACGTCGAAAGCCATGACCGGTAAGGTGTCAAGCATCGGACCCGACGTCTATGGTCTCTTATTTGAGAATTTGAGCGTACTGCCGCGCAATATTCCCTCCCTTAGCAACGTGATCGAACCTAGATACACTCTAGTGCAGCCATCAAGATCACCTACGTTCCGCCTTACAAAGCTCACGCTTGCCCCCTGGCTTTGCCAAGAAAGGGGGTAACAAGATGGCCTCTAGTCTGAGTTTGACTATGTCCAGAAACCGGGTCGGGATTAAGTCGATAACGTGTTCAGGGAACACTGGTCGAGACGGATCATCGAGCAGGACTCCGAGGACATCAATAGGTACAGGCTGGATGCGGTGCGTATTCCTGTTGGTCTTTGACTGGATGAGTGGCCGGCTTAAAAATGAGTACTATGCTAGGGGCGGGTAGGAAGCATTTTCTGAAAGTTTGTGTGAGATGGCGAGTCTGCGCGGACTGTACTTGATACTCGAATACGGTAAAGGGGTGCAGCGATTTTTTTTTTTAAAAAAAAGGGGGAATTTGACAAAAAAACGGGCAGGGGGGGACTCGAACCCCCGGCGGCGCGGTCCTTACCCGTGAAAAACCGGGAATGGTCAGTCGTCGGATGTCAAGGAGGGAATGTTGCGCTTGACTGACTAGGCCACCCTCTGTTTTTGCTCCCAATACATGTCGACTTGACGCGCCCTACGGAGCGCGTCCTGCATTGGTGCTGATTCCAGTGCTAATTTTACCTTATGACCTTTACTTCGGCTGGTGTCATCCAATAGTAACCGGTATTTCTACGGGTAGCTACGCCCCTGAGGCACACTGCCCGTGGACACGGTGCATGGCGCGCCAGGCGTCCAAGCTGCCAGCCAGTCCCCCATCGAGCACATGACTTCAGTCGTCAGGTACCTATTCGACGACGGGATTCCGAGGGAGTTTTTCCGTGTGAGGTCGAATCTCTCGCCTCCAGGGAGCATCGGCTGAGTCCATCCATTATCGGACTACGCTACCTTGCTTATACCTCCTTTTCTTTCCTACATCCGTCCCCTGTCCACAACTACAATGTCAACCCACATTTATGATTCAACAGTACCAAGAATGGGACACGAGCATCGCCCTGACCACGACGCATTATTCAAGGCGCATGCTCGAAAAACCAGAGCCCAGCGGGCGTGGCGCCGCCACAGCAACGACGGGGTCTGTCGCAAGTAGTTCAGCGAGCAGGCCAGTGTATTCGAGACGAGCGCCGCGAGTTAGTCGTACTGGAGCTAGAAAGCCCAGGTCAGGGACTGGAGTTGGCCGTGCCGTGATGCAGTTCGGGTTGGCATCATTCCTAAGGGCCTTGGTGGAATGGCTCCCTTGAATGAGACTCCATAGGATTTGAAGACGGCAAATGAGAAGTCTTGAGCTCAGCTTGACTGCTAGGGTAGCGAGAGACTACTCAGCTCGCAGTGCCGTATCATTACGTCGAGCCTCGGAGGGTCCAATCCGTCTTAATAAGGCTTATACCGGATGACTCTTCGGCGACATGGGGCGCCCCATCCCGCCGCAGGGGCGGTTTTGAAACGGAGCCTGCGATATTACCTATTCAGCTCCTTGAGCTAGATGCTACCATCATTGCCGTAATGTGCGCTTTGAACTGGTTTATAGACATAATTTCAGCATTTGTTTCTTCAATACGGCATATGCAGGAGTGCCTAGGTACGTTGGTAGTCAAAGAAAGGAGATAGGCACCTGGAGCTGCACCGCTTGCTAACCTAAACTCATCAGCTTACCGGAACATATTCCAAGCCTCTAAACCCAACTTTAGATGCTAGTCAAGAACTGTGCGTTCATTTTTCCGACTCTATCCTCCTCTTTCGACTTATTTCAAGCCTTACATATGATATAGCGTTCCTTCATACAAACAATAGAACCCGATCTTGTGTAGTGGTAGCATAGCGACTGACTTGCTTAAACCTCACCATCTTAAGCCTTATCTCCGCCCGTTCGCGGGATCGCAGATCCGAGTTCGATTCCCGGGGCTGGGACCAATTACTTTTGTCATTTTGTCCCCCATATTGAAGATTCTGTCTTGATATAGGGATGAAGTTCAATCTTGATAAGAGATATTTCGGGCAATGAGCAAAGCGGCGTGAACGCTAAGCCTATTTCTATCTAGTGCCTCTTCTTTGTGTCAGAAAATCGAGCCAATCATTTGCAGTCATTCGCCGGACCACGGAGGGACTGCAATAGCGAAGTGCGCAACCGAGATCCATGAATCCCGTTCGCCAAGCCCCCTGAGCCAAACAGATGATAACGGCTGTGTGGGGTCTTGGAGGCCGGAATTCTTCGATCGTATCATGGATCTAAGCACATCTGAGCTGTTCTATTGTAATACTGATGCCTAGCCGAAAATGATCTAAAGGCTTATAGGCTCTTAGGTATAGAGGCTGAGATGCAGGAGTCACTGTCATCATACTCTATTAGGTAGGCCGAACCCAAGGATCACTAAGCGGAGAGTTTTCGACGAAGATCGCCGGGTATACATACCAATGTTCTGCTTCGGGGTGCGGTACGACATGCACGCCTAAAATCTGAGTCAACGCAATACGACATATAGGATCTGTATTTTGTAAACATATTTCGTATATAAATATTTGCAAGCCTGTCTTTACACCTTTCTCATTGCTCTTCAGCTCGAGAACAATCCTCTGAACATAATACACTATTACCAGGCCACCCCACCAAGAAGCAGTAAAAATGGTCAAAGTCCTCGTCCTCGCCGCAACAGGCCAGCAGGGCAACGCAACAGCCCGCGCCCTCCTCTCCTCCAGCAAGCAGCACGCCGTGCGCGCCTACGTCCGGGACGCCTCGTCCTTGAAGGCCCAAGAGCTCGCGGCCCTAGGAGCCGAGGTCGTCGAGGGCGGCGACTGGGACAAGGACGTCGCGGCGCTGGACAAGGCGGTCGCCGGCGTTGAAGCCGTCTTCTTCATCTCGAACCCGTCCTTCACGGACCATGGCGCCGAAGTCAAGGGCGCGACGAACATCGTCGAGGCCGCCAAGCGTGCTGGCACCGTGAACCATATCGTGTATAGCACGGTCGCGGGCGTTGAGAATTATAAGGATTTGCCTGGCCTTGACGCGAATCCTTTTTTCCGGAATTATTGGGAGTCTAAAGGTAAGCACCCTCCTTCTCCGTCGTTTGAGCGTTTATTCTTGCGCAGGACCGGGATGGGAATAAAAATAAGGATGGGATATCGCATTTATAGGCATATACAAGTACACTAACCCATAGGAAATAGCCAAAGGCGAAGAGCTCGTCAAAAACGCAGGTTTAGCACACTACACGATCCTGCGTCCAACAGAATTCATGTCGAACTGGACAAACCAAAGAAGGGCATTATTCCAAGTGCCGGACCTAGTCAAAGAAGGGATATGGCACACAGCCATGCCACCATCCTTCCTCCTCTCCGAGATCGACACGGACGACATCGGCCGCGTGGCCGCCGCCGCAATCGAGGCCCCGGACACCTTTGCCGGCGGGCCCAACCGCGTGCTCAAGCTAATAGGGGAGCGCATCACCGTCGCTGATCTGATCGCGCAGTTGAGCGAGGCCGCAGGAAAGAAGATGACTACGTATATGTATACGCCGGAGGAGGCCGAGGAGGCGGCGAAGAAGAACCCCGTTGTGGCGGGCCAGTTGTCGCGGCTGGCGAAGCAGGAGGGGCTGCAGCCGCTGGAGCATTATGGGTTGAAGTTTAATACTTTTAAGGAGCATCTGGCTAACCACCTTGATGAGGTTAAGGAGTTGTATAAGAATGTGCCTTAGATGCTGGCTGAGTGGTTGGTATCTTGGGTAGATTGATAAGGAATGGGACTTGGACTAGTTGAAAACGGTGAAATGTATTCGGGTGGTTATAAGGGGGGATAGAAACGAGCCGGGAAAGTCATACTAATGGAAGTCGAGGCATCTGGCCTTTCTTTTCTCTGGATGGAATATATCGAGTCGTGGACACCCTGGTTTTATATATTCTCTCTTGGGTGGATGGAAGCATGCGCAAACTGGATAATGCAGATTGATTAATCTGGCCTAACTTGATTTTTTATTTTATGTGGAATCTCTCGTTTGGCCAAGCGTCTGTATAAGAGAAATAATTCGTAACAGCAGCCGGTATGATGTCGTCCACTCCATCATCGCCAGCGTATTGTCCTTCGAGTAAAATAAATTCCAAGCACAGGAAGCAAGTAAGCTACATATCAATGACTCCGTAATGCACAGCGAGACAGGCTAACTCCCGCATACTAGCAACATATTCCGCCCTCATGCGTGCCATCTCCTCATATCATTTTCGTCCATGCTCCAAGAAATCATAACGCCACTGCTATGGTAACAGGAAAACGACGGCCAGTACGTGTACAATGATACTCATCCCTCTGCCCGACTACAGCTCCTCAACTATTGCTGCGTCTTAGCGGGAGCAAAGAACACAACCTGGACGGTGATATCGTCCCTGATGTCTCTCGAGTTCGGGTATCTGAATGTCAGTGCCCCTCTCACCATCTGCTCATCGCCGCCTCCAAGGCCGTTACGCACGAGGTGGACCGCTACATTATCGTCCTGGAGCGTGGCCTTGCGCTCCTCGTACCTGCACCCTTGCTTGCGTCCTAGCACCGTCTCCTCGAAATCCTTCGCCGACGGCTTCACCGGCTTGCCCGTCCCTTGTGCCTGCCACTCAATCCACTTCCCAACCAAGTCCACAGCTTGCGCGCTCGACATCGTGTCCCACAGGCCGTCCGTTGCCAAGATCAGGAACGATGGCTGCGCCTCCGGGATCTTGGTCGTGGTAACGAGGGGCTCGGCAGTCAGGTACGGGCCGTCCTTGTAGCTGCCGTATCTAACGGCAGAGGGTAGGCTCAACCCGTTGAAGTGGTTGCGCAAGTTTTCCTTGAGCTGCGAGGTCCATTTCCACATACCGTCACCAAAGGTACGCGATGGCTGCATGCCCCATACTCGACCACTACGCACGACGTCAGGCTCGTCAGGGAATTGAGCTTTGATCCGGGCTACCTCGTCGGGATTTGCCCCTGTGCAGTCAGTGCTGAGGTCCGTGGCTACCCATTTGCCGTCTTCGGTCTTCTGGCCTAGCACTGCTCGGCAGTCCCCTGTGGACGCTACTGTGAGGTTTCTGGATTGCGGATCAAGTAGAGTTAGTAGAGCACATGAGCCGGCGTATGCCGCTTCCAGTCTTCTCGCCTTCTCCGCGAAAGGCAGATCGCTCTCGATAGTTGCTAGGGCAGTCTTGACTATGGCATCGTCGAGTGTGGTGAAAGCTGACTTAATAGCTTTGTGGATATCCTCCTCGCTAGGCGAGCTTCCATCCTTGGACTTGATATCACTAAGAGCACGTCGGACGAAAGGTATCATCTGCTTGGTTAGAAGATTTGACAGCTGCCAGCCACAATGCCCGTCGAAAACACCCCAGGCAAGCCAGTCCTCCCCGTGCTTGTCGAAGGGGTTGGAGAAGGAGCCGTGGACAAATGCATCCTCGCAGGGGCTGTTAGAAGCAACCTGAGCGCCATCGTATCTTGTTACGAGCTTTCCTCCCGCGACCAACGAGAAGGCACGCTCATTCAGCTGGCGCGTGACTCCCTCCGCCGTAGGAATTGGGTCGTACGCAATCTTATCAGACAGGCCCAGCTCGTTGAGATCTGGGATGCCGGTAATCTCATCGTCTGAGATAGTCGCCGGTTTAGTGGAAACTGCAGCCCGCCGGCTACGAGGCGCATACCAACACATGAGAGCAGCTGATCCGAGTCCTGCGGCGAAGGAAGCGGCAGCGGTGCCAGTCGAGAAGGACTTCTGCTGCGTCTCGGTGCTAACGAAACGCGCCAACGGTCTCAGCGTTGGATGAGACAGGCGCGTCACCGTGGTGAGACGCGGTCTGTGGCGGAGAAGCTGGCGGGCGGACATATTGTCGAAGGCCACGCATGTATGGGCTGATGTTCGTGATGAGAATCTACGGGGTCTTAGACCTAGACCTAACTGGTACCTAGGTAATTGGAGGGAGAGATGAGATGCTATTTATCTACTCTGCGAGGTGGAATCGAATTGCTGATGTCAGGCCTATTTACGGAGAATAGGACGGGATTTGTGACTATGGTGAGAATCTGAATATGTATCGGTGAGAGCTGCGATTTACCTACATCCCTGGTTAGTCGAAGGCAGGGACACACGCGACCTTCGATGAACTATTCTCCAACGCGAAAACTTGGGTAAGGGTATGTATCTGCGATCGTCATGTCTCACCTACAACATGTCAGCTTACTGTGTAGACATCCCAGTATGACGGTTCAGAGTAGACAACTAGTTGTTGAAATGGAGAGTGTGTATGTGTAACGAGTCGTTTGGCAGAAGTCAGAATACCACAATTGATTGGCCACTAGAAGATTGGTCTTGGGACGAAATCGTTTACTCATTACTAATAGCATGTATAGCATGTATAGCATGTATAGCATGTAGTGCGCCTACCCATTGAATCTAGAACCAAACTGGCGGTAATTGCAACCCACCCCGACTACATGGATCAGATACAAAAAATAGATTGCACCTACTTTAGCTAATTTGTTGAAGATACCTATATACATAGGCATATACATAAGTGACTGAGTGCTGATTACACAGAGTCTGGAGTAAATCGTGGGGAAAGAAGGGCTCGGCGCAGGGTGCTAAGAGACGAGCCGAGGTACCCACCCGCTTTAGGTGGGCGAGTGGGGCGCCGGGATCCTGAGGATAGTCTTGTTGGTTCTCTTCCGACATCTAACCGCAAGAAAAAGAGAAAGGATCCAGACTCGCGTTGTTGGGCGCTTATAAAGGAGTATATATGTCTCATATCTTATACTTAGACCTCATGTCACATTGCACATAATACCCCAAAAGCTTAATAGACGAAGCACAGGAGGAAAATACAACCATGACGGACGTAATCAAGGTCACATACGACGGCCGCATCGCCACTATCACCATCGACAACGATAAGAAGCTCAATGC